GCGGTTTTCACGTCGAAAACATACAGTTTTAAAAAAGAAAAAATTCATATTTCACCTATATTGCAGTGCTGTACGACTGATGGAAATGTTACACTTGGTAGTAGCAAATCATTGTACCGTCTCTTGCTTCTAGTGGCATGGGAGTACTCTTTGAGCAGGTTACCGGTCCAAGGAATTTAAGCACCTGCAGCGCATAGGACGCAAGACTGCATCTTCTAACTGGGTTGAAGAGAAGCATTTTCAAGCTAAAGCGTTACCGCCGTCACTGTATGATATTAGAATTAATGATACTTAACTTTAAGTCTTTGCATCAGGACCTTACATGTTATATGCTTATGTCATAGTTTTTGCTCTTGTGTCGTAGATCCACCCAAAATATGTTTATATAATGTATATATCAAATATATACACCGTCCTGCGGTACCTGAAACTTTGGGATGGGGGGGGGTTCAGACGCGCGCTTTTGTTCATTCTAACTCATTTAGCGTCCTCCGTTTGCTTCCTTTGATGCATGCGAGGCTGTATTACATTGTCTGTTGAATTTTCACTGCTTAATTGTCATCTGTTTGAGGCATCGCATTTTTGAATGATAAACTACCATGGAACTCACAATGCATGCTTTTCAGGACGGAGCAGTGAAGTTCGAGTTGCTTTAAACCGTTGAAAGATTGTTTTTTATCGTATAATGGATTTTCAACACAAATTTTTGAATGTATCAGTCAAATTGCTTTCTAGTTATTGATAGTTTGAGATTCACGTCCACAGCCTGCAATGATACCTGTCAGAGGAGTTCTTAGAAGTAAGTTAAATAAGGTTTTATGATACAGGGTCGATTCGCCATGACTTAACATTGCTTCCATATATTTTATTGGAATGTCGTTTCTGAGCTGGTGTTTTGTAGCTTCGGTCAATATCAAACTACTTATGTTCAGCGTCGACGATGGCTATCAGCGTGTTTATCATGAACTCATGATCATTTTTGTTCATCATATGATGATTGTTTTGTCAAAACTGACCAAAACCTCGTTAAGAAAACTTAATCAGTAACTGCATCTGTTTGCCACTTTTGTAGTATATTTTTTTCCTATCAGAAAACCTCTGACGCAGCCTCTGATCGCAGAGCAGCTTTATCGAGGATGTCAATTTCTAAGGGGGATACGGGGTGACACATACGTATCTCTTTCATGCCAGTAAACCAGTTGACCAGGAAATCCGCTGCTGCAAGGTCGTGTATGGTTATAATAGTCGTTTTTCCCCTCCTCTCATTCATGCTCATCATTATCTTCATGTTTTTCTTCGTCTTTATCTTCACTTTCTTTATATTCATCGTCTCCAGTTTCATAATCTTTATCTTCATCAGTGTCGTGTAGTGACACGTAAGAAGTCGGCGTCAAACTCGAACTCTGGTGGTGCCGAGTTCGATTCCCGTTTCAGAAAACCTTTGCCTTTACCATGCTTTCCCCTTAGCAAGGAGTTTAGCATACGTTGCTTCATTCGGAGGGTTACCACATCCGTACAGTTCTGGGTTTGAGTCCCTGTAAGGCTCACTCACGTTTTTCCTTTAAAGGTTGATAAATTAATGAAGAGAATACGGACTGTGCTTGTCACGTAGCTACTGTTGTTTCTGCCTTTAAAAATCAGACATTCGTGACCTATGATATGAAAATGGAGATCAGCGCCATTCGTCACAGTTAATTTCGTGAAATTGAATTGCCCCCATCATTTAAGCGGGAATACGGCCGTCATTCAAAGGTTACACTTGCCTACTTTCCCTATTTTTTTTATTTTCTTTACCTTCATCTTTATGATATTTACTTTTATTTTCATCTTCTTCATCTTCATAATCGTTATCATGATTATCAACATCGCTCTTCATCGTACGATCGAGTATGAAGAATGACTCCTGGAAGATTATACTTCAGAGATCATATATGACACTCAGGCGTATGAACGGCTCTTGATGTTTATGCAGTAGCGCATAAATAGTACCAGCTCCTGAAATATTATTCGTGATGAGCGTCAGGTAACTCTAGCGGACACAATGGTACGAGAGGCAGGTGCTCAAATTCCATCTAGCCTTGTCCTGCTTAAATAGCCATCACAGGCGACTGCGATCTATCTCGGAACCATGCAATACACCGTGAAATTTGCTTTGGACGAGTCATTCGTTAGTTATCGTTGTAATTATCGATCATTACCACCATTATCGGCAGTTATAGTCTTCTGTTTGGAGATTACACAGCATAGTATAATATTTCATGCCATGCGTTTCGTTCATGTGATCTTGCTAATATCAATTAAATTCAATTCTCTCGATTGTACTCGGTGTTTTCTTTTCTTTCCTTTCTAGACTGGTGATTTTCTCAATCTAGATTCCATATTAATTTCTTCTGGTATCATTTACACAGAAACTTTTCATGAGGTATCCAGAATTCCGTTGTTTTCGTTATTGTTTTGTTTTCAGAGGTAAGCATTGAAAGCCATTTAATGTGAAAAGAATGACGCCATGATTGTGAAAGCTTGTTTTGTCATTAGGTGAGATTTGCCAAGTCGAAAAACTTTTCTTATGATGGATTATGCTCTTACATTTCCTGATGATATTGATTCAAAATTGTGACCAGCTGACCGAAACTGTGATTTCTCTACATTTCCTGGTAGCGAACCTGGTACAGATCTTCCTTCTGCTTTACCCAGAGATGGACGGACACCACGTCGAATATTGCTTCTTCAGGGATTAAGACTGATTGTAGTCTGAAATCGTTCCCTTGGGGTTTATAATCAGAATGTCTTGTTCACCGACAGTGTTGTCTCTAAATTTATGAGCTTTGCTCGCTTCGGCAATAAGGGCTTTGTTAATCGATCTAGCTTAACAGTGGCGAGTATTGCAGCACAGAAGAAGGCACTCCACTGTATTTGTTACCATTGAGCGGTCCTGTACTTAGTTTATTTCTTTTTCACAACGGTTTCCCCCGAGGGCAGCAGTATTTATCATAGTTTCATGAAACTTAATAGCTTGTTTCAAATGTCAAATAGTTTGTGTCAAATAACGTTTGTGTAATTCTTGTACTTGACGTTGTTTGGCTTATGGAACATGATTGACGATTATCAAGGTATTGCTGTTGTCAATAACATAACGTAAAATGCATCTGTGCACAATGGAATCATGACCCACTTAAATGACCCCTATGCTTTCATATGACGGACTTGTTATAAGGCCACGTAATCCACTTCGAATAAAATATCTACTTTAAAAATTAGTTTTCTGACAAATATTAGTACCACAGATTCTTTCGCCTGCGTGTTTCGTTCTCCCTCCTTATCGTAGATGAAATGGCGAAGGAAAGATTCCGTTTCGTTGTACAGATAGTAATGAACACGTTGATTTACGTTCCGTTTATCTGGGACGGTAATTTTAATTATTTCTCAAGTGCGAGTTAATATGCTCTTGAAATTAGGTAGAGGATAAACTGAGGTGGCGTTTCTTGTTGCGAAGTCAATTCGATTCGATTGGTATCGGCTGTCGTAGGTTTATATCGTGCAGTATTTTAGGGCTTGGTGTGCTCTCAGATGACGGCTGATTGCAACGGTAGCGGGACGAAGTGGCCAAACAAGGAACCGCCGCAAGCGACCTCTGACCCGAAGAAAGCCATTCCGTTACAGTACGAACCTTTGAGAAGCACAACCGACGACTCACGCAGGATCTTGCCGCTGGTCGTTCGAAATCCGTCGTTTACGTTCTGGCAAATCGAGCTGAGCAGTTTGCTGATGCTGAAAGCCGTCACCGCTTACTACTTGTTGGCTGACTGCAGCTCCAAGCTACGTTGCTACGGCAAGACGTTGCGCTACTTGAAACTGAGTCTTAGCTGTTTCGGTACGCGTGTTGTAGATATTGTTTTAAAATGTGGGTTCGTATATCAGCTTAGTATGAACAAGCCCATAATTCCACCAAAACCAGATTTCACTGTTTTGCATTGTTCTTTTTTCTAGTTGCTTGCAAGGTATTTAGTAAAGCCATGATTCCATGGTATTGCAGCACCTGCAGTGCTTGACGGTGCAGTAAGTCGTAAAATATGTTCTTGAAGGAGTTGTGTTAACATGCTCCAACATACGAACCCATATTTTGATGTTTGTGCAGTAACATAGCAAGTATTAGCTCCAGGCTCATCGTTCATACAGAATAAAGTGATGCTCAATGCATCTAGCATTCAAATTTTTCAAATATCGTAGAACCGTTTCGTCTGTAATAGTTCCTTACGTAGCTGTTGACAACAGAGTTAATGTTACGAAAAGTGTGTGTGTTGGAGGAGTTATGCGGCAGTTGGCAAACTGCGGCATATGAACTCATGCCATTGAAAATGTAGTGCGTTATGTATTATGAACGATACGTAGCATAATAGAAGAAACTTAAGCTGTATTTAAAACTATTTACTCTTTCATACTCTTATCGTCTTTGTTCTTTCATTTTACTGTTTTCTAGAATGCGTGAACGGGAACGTCGACGAGCAGTGGAAGAACAGCAAAGTGTTGCAGCGGTGCCGCATGTCAACGGCATCACTACTGCCCAGCATCCTTATGCTCTGCGGGGACACCCATCTGATGCTCTCGCACCAAATGCAGACAGCGATGGCGAAGCATCGCACTGATTTCGAATGCAAGGTTTATCGTGATGAACAAATCGTGGCCGAAGCCGCGAAGCTTCTTCCGCAGAAATCGCCTTCGCGTAACGTCATCAGCTTATTCTTGTGTGTGTACAGAAATTAATGTGATAACATCACTGACAAATTTGTTCTCAGATGCAAGCTGTCTTTTAAACTTTAGACATGTTTAGCGAAGCCTTAACAGTTAGTCTTGGGAAGGGATGTACCAAGATTCTCAAATGTGACCGTCTTTGATCATCCATTAGAGATTCATCGATTGCAACGATTATACACAGTTTCTGTAAAAAATAGTTTCTTTTATACTTTGCTAACTATCTTGTGCAGTCGCTGAGAAAGATCCAGCGTGTGTGGCAGTGTTGAAACTGAGAAATTGACTAGCTTGAAGAAGTGTCAGGTCCTTTTACTGAACAAATAATGTGTTCTTCATACAGGGAATCACCGATTCAAATGTCGGCTTAGAGTCGAATAAGGTATTCTGTATATTATTATAACAGAAAAATGCATCGTTTTCTCTTCTATAGTTAACGACACGAATAAGTCTGTAGATTTTTCGCTTAGCAACTGACAAATCTTTCTATCGATCACACCCCAACGGTCATCGGTGCATGAGGCATGTAATTTTTCGTCACTAAACATAAATTGGGAAAGATGGTCGCTTTTTATCGATCACGATGCCGTATCGATAAAGGACTTTGAAACACGCTGTTGAGTAAGTGTTGCACAGTCGTGAGACAAACCAGTAGATTAAATCATAAGCTTAAACCATAAAGCACTTTTTTATGCTCTTTCCCGAGTTCTACTTCGTCTCGTTGCTCTAAGGTACCTGAGGGCCCGTGAGTATAGGTAATAACTCATTGGAGTTTAAGCATATGAAGTGTATCGATGCGTCTTGTCTCACCTGTTGGCTGTAAAATTTCTTTGCTCAACACCAACGTATTCCAATTGTTTTATTCTTACACTGAATACATTGAATTATCTATATTTTGCATTATAATATTACATATGTGATACTGCTGTGGTATATAATGCGTATATAATGTATTCAGGCACAATTATACAATGTTGCAATATCACATCTAAGATTATATTGTGCTATAGTATAACGATACGATGCATACAGTACACATGCACGATTTAAAGTAATTTTTCAATATTGCATGGAGGGTAGAGTATATGCTAGTGCTCTACAGCGTAAGCGTGCATATTTTACAGGTGTTTAGTATATGCAGGACTGTGTAGTATAACTGTTAAACGTTGTGAGTTAAACAGTCAGTTTCGATGGCTGGCTATATTTTGGGTTGCTAAAAAATCATCGTCAGACAGTGCTTCCAACGTGCCTGATCCTGAATGGGTGTCCGAACTTCGCTAGAAGATAACATGAATCGACAATAGGTCCATTATGAAATCAGACTAAACATTGATTCAGGTTCAGGTCTTCGGTCGGTCTGTCGGTCGAACAAATTCCAGTCGTTTCGCCATCCATTCTGTAACCATTTGCCTAACGTGCCCAAGCCTGTCACTGCTGTCAATTTGGAGATGCACCGGCTTCACACCAAGGTTCTCTCAGATATTTGTACTCCAGACCATGTCGAAACGCATGAACCCAGCGATTCATCCCATGAAGCTCATTTCTGCCACTTGCACCCGGGATCGAAGTTCATTCATGGCCCACGACTCGTGACTGTAGGTGAGCATAGGGATAAAGGTCAACCGAGTTTTCAGCCTCGGCTATTCGTTAGACACAACGGTTCGAACTAGTTTATGCTTTGCTGGCCAGTTCAATCTGTTCCTTCGGTACGTTAAGTTGCCCACCTATTCTACTACTTCTCCATTAGTCTGAAGAGACCAATGGGGAAAAGAACGAGAAAGCACCAGGGTTTTCGTTTTAGACACGCTTACACGCATGACGACTACGACGCACTCTGTTGCGAATCTTTCAGGAAAGCGCTGTTAATCAGTTTGAGAAGATGTCAACAAGGTCGTTTGTAAACATAAACCTTCTCGTCTCAGCATCTCCTATACTGATAAACTCGTCATTCTTCACCATAGTATGCTTTTGAAAAAGAATCAGTAGACTTTCGCCTTTGACAGAATCTGGATTTCAAGAATTATGAAGGCATGGAGATCCTCTTACTCTGGCCGTTATTTCCTCCACTTGAAAGTTTTAATTGAGAGTATTTAGGGTCATTTTGTCTATATGATTAAAATGAATGTCGAAACAGTTAGTTTCTGCTCCTCTGGTCGGTTTTAGACTTAAAGAACGGCCCTGGACTTCTTAGATCGAATTCCTCGACGAACTCGGCGCAAAATTTTTGCCATATAAGACAGAA